CCTGGTATATTTAGAGCCATTTTCTGTTGCTTAATTTACTTTATAAAGAGGAATAATGGCACAATGATAATATTCTTTGATTGAGTACACAATCAGAAAAAAATCAGTGGAAATAGTGGTGCCTTGTAAAGAAACTGCTGAGTGCTGGACTTTGCAACAAAAGAAGCAGTATGAAACAGAGCGATAAACCCAAAAGTCTGGAGAACCAGATGTAGAATCTCAGTCTTTGGAAAAACACTGGCAATTCTGCAGCCTTCTCCCCTCTCTGGTAGATATCCAATCTTATTTTTGTGAGGAGCAAAGAATTAGTGTTGATATGCCTAATGGAACACTGATGTGTGGGGTATTACCAGATTGGCTTAAAGTAGGAGAGATGTTATATTTTGTCTGATATGAAATGGTATGAAGATAATCCATATTTCTTTGGGTTCTAGGCACAAGGCTAAAGCCAAAGATAGGGCTAAGAATTTGTCTGTTTAAAAAAACTAGACTAAACTCTCAGCAATGATTAAAATAAACCTAGGAAGCAGTAAATAAGATTTACCATTGACCAGTGAAAGGAGATACATGAGATACTCAAAGCAATCATTGCAAAGTGGTAACAAAGCGAGGTGGTGTTGGATTCTTCAATTAAACTATAGGAATGATACAGATTTTTAAACTTCGTGAACCTCTCTGTAAAAAGAAATCATTCTGGGGAAAAGCCTCATACATGCATTATGGAATTAAGTTGGTTACATTTATTGTGCATTTATTGTAGAGTTGCCACACCGATATATTTTTATCTTTTTATCTCTGTCTATCTTTACCATCTCTCTGTTTATGGCTCTTTATAACCAATTCTATGTAAAATCTGCCTGTTTTAGGGCACATATATGGCTTTCCTGGATACCTTTGTTCATCCCTGGAGTGGGTAGCTCATTTTTGTGGTGAAATCTCAGATGTCTTCTTCTCAGATGCACTCTGAGTGAAAAGCCAAATCTTTAGGAAGATTTTCTGCAGTGTGACAGCTCCTGCAGACTGACAGGAGTGGCTGTGCATGGAAGTGACAGTGGCACAGGCTAAGCATATCCTGTTGGCAGGACATGGTAGGAACACGCAGGCACATAGGTGATAGCTCTGAGAAGAAAAGGGGAGAAGTGCAGGAACTCCATGTTGTCTGTGACATCTCTCTGTACAAGGGGAAATAAAGATGTTGGTAAGATATGCAGTGATCTGGTGGGAAGACTCTATAATTAGTGCTTAAAAAGAAGTGAAAATTAAAAAATATGAAAAAGCCTGACAACCAGATGCTTACTTAACCTACCTTAGGAGAAATATTCCTTTATATTTATAATCATATGCTATTTTCACTGAGTAATGGCTTTTAAATTTGACCCAATTATTTTAAGTACAGAAAGGGACACTGTGCATTTTAAAGGTACATTTTTTTGGGTGGTAATTAGAAATACTTCCACCTTAAATGAACCTGCTACAAGAACCTAGAAACTGCAGCTTCATTGCCAGTGTCAGTGGAGCCCTTGGTTTCTCTGGTTTGCCTTCCTTGCTCAAAATGGGTATTCCACAAACTTTTAAAACAGTGTACACATACTAAGTTTTGTTTTCGTTTTTGTTTTTTTTTTGGTGGGTTTTTTTTTTTTTTTTTTTTTTTTTTTTATTTTTTTTTTGGTTTTTGTTTTTTTTCCTATGAACAAATGTTTTGCAACATATCTTGTAGGCAGGAACAGGAAGAAGTTGAAGGTGTATGTGGCTGAGTGTGAATGCAGCCAGGTCTCAGCCTGCTCTGCAATCAGACACTCCTGGGAGGACATACCTGACCTTGCACCCTTCATGTGAAGGTCATCTGCAGAGAATGTCTAGACTGACCCTGGTCTTTTTCATCTCTTGGGAAAAAAAACCCACAAAATTGTCAGCCATAAAATTCTCCAGATAAACTTCATTTAAAGACCCAGAGGGGTGGAAGGCAGATGTGGTAGGACACAATGTGTGAAAATATGACATGATGGGATGAAGATGACTTAGAGAAAGAGGATGTGTAAGGTAGTTCATCTGAATCTGGAGTGTTTTTGCTGATATACAGTGCAAGGAGGAAGGACTGTAAAAATATAAGCTAATACCAAGAAGACTAGTTCCTCACTGAATCTCTTATTGTACTCTTTTGCCATTAAATGACTCTAAGCTAATGCATCTATTTTAAGGAAAAAAAAAAAAAGAAATCTCACCACTGAAGAGATTTTTGAGGTGAATTTTACTCCCTGCTCATGATGGGTGGCTGCAGATTTGAGTGACAGCTGCTGTGCTGCTCACTTCAAGCTCCCAGAGTAACCCATGGGGACAAATCTTAGGGGGAATTGACTGTCCTGTTTCTAGTCTTGTGAGGTAGGACAGAGTGAGGCCAGGTCTCAGACTGATGAACTCAGGGTTGCTTCTAAGAGCAGTGTCACTGTACCCAGTAGATGTTTCAGAACTTGACTTGAATGCTCACATAGAGGTGGCTGGTGTCACCTGAGATGCTATAAAACCTCTGAGATGTCCACTCAAGCCAAGTAGAGGTTACAGTCTCTGTTGGAGACATCTTACCCTCTTGGAATAGCAGCCAAGATACTCTGGTGTACCTCCAAGGGTTTTGAGCTTGGGGGATACAAGTCCTTTCCAGTAGCTGAAGGGAATACAAGAAAGCTGAGGAGAGACTTTTTATAAGGGCATGTAGTGACAGGATAAGGAATAATAACTTTAAACTGAAAAAAGGTAGGTTTGGATTAGATATCACAAAGAAATTCCTTACTGTGAGGGTGGTGAGGCTCTGGCACAGGTTGCCCAGAGGAGTTGTGGGTGCTCCATCCCTGGAAGTCTCAAGGCTGTGTTGGACAGGGTTCTGAGCAACCTGATCTGGTGGAAGGTGTCCCTGCCTGTGTCAGGGGGTTGGAACTAGATGATTGTAAAGTCCCTTCTAACTCAAACCATTCTGTGACTCTACAATACTCTGCTGACCTCTTAACTCTTACACTTGTTAGTTGACTTTGATGGAACAGACTCTGACATGGGTTGATAAGAACAGGGAAAGTAGAGAAGTGCTGTGTCCAGTGAAGTTTTCTATGTGTTGTAGAAATGATCTGCACTGTAGTGAGCACTTATAGCTTTGTAAGTCTAAGCACTCTAGCGAGCTACTCTTACTCAGCATTGAAGCTGAAGAAATAAAGATGGACAAAGTAGTGGTGTCTGTCCCTAAGACCATGCCTTTGTTCTTCTTTTCTGGGTAAAATGTGCTACATGATTGCTGATGGGCTTTAGATGGCTCTCTGTGGCTCATGGGTTCAGGACAAAAGGGGTGGATCCAGGTGAGAGAGGTCCTACAGGGAAGGGCATTTCTGAAGGGTGGCTGTTACTTCTCTGGAAAGGGACAAGCACAAAGAGCTGGTGCTCTGTAGAAGATTAAATAAAGCACTCTGAGAGTCTGGGGTTTTTTTTAATTCCGTTTGGGATTTTTAAAGTTTATTTGCACAAAAGAGTTCATCTGGGAGCAGAGGCACAGAACTGGGACTGGGGCAGTAGAGCAGAGGCCGTGGCACTCTGAGGTCTGCAAGGATCAGCTTCTCACTGGTCTACTTTGCTCTGCAAGCCAAAAAATTCGAGAATAGTGAGTGCCGGGCCCTGAGGCATCTAAGCCATTTGCATCAAAATGAACTGACAGTTCCTCTTGAAATGAGAGGGTATGAACTAGTCTGTGGTGTCCAGCCCAGGTATTTGGATTGTGTCCTTGATCCTGACAGCTGAAACACGGGGTTGTTGTTCTCCAAACATTTACATTTTTCAGATTATGTCCTTGGTCTAAAGTTTTATTCCTGTCCCAAGTTAGTTCTAATTGCAAGTGGCTGATCACCTGCATGAGTTTCAAAGGCAGGACAGACAGGGATATTTGATGCAAACCCAACATATTTAAGTTCTTCAGTCAGAGCCTGTGCAGTGTGATTGCACAGTGAATTAATATCAAAATTACACAAATAGTTTTGTCTTTATGTCTGGGTAATTTTTTACTATTAATTATTTAAAGTTGATAGATACAGAAAAAGCTAAGATAGAGCAATGAATATAGAGAAAAGTCAGATATAGAAGAATAACTTCCTTAGTTTTACTAAGTTCTTCATGTATACAATACAAAAAACATTTCAAAGACAAAATTTGTCTTGTCCTTTGCTAGGAGATTTCCTTGAAAGAATTTTTTCTATTTTGGAAAAAAACCCGAACCAATAACCTAAAATATGTTGCAATCCTAATTCTGAACCATGATAATCTTATCTTCAGTCATGCCAACTCTCTGTTCAAATCAAACTTTTTATTATATTTAGTATTATGCAGACATTTTCTTTAGAAGCCTTGCCCACCAGAAGAGCTTGGGTTCACAGGTCTCCCTGCAGTGCTCGGCATGAGGAGCTGCCCCTGTTGCCATGTGCTGGATGGCTTCTGAAGAAGGCTGTGGTGTCACTTCTGAGAGCACAGGCTTTGAATCATGTAAAAGGTGCTTTGCGGGATCCAAAAAAGCATGAACTGAAATAATTTAATCTAATTTTAGTCACCTTTATGTACTTTCACTAAATGAATTTTTATCATCCTTGTGTTTGCAAGGGATAGCTCATTGCTTTGGTCAGCCACATCTCCATGTTGTTAGCTCCAGATAAGACTCTTGTCTCTCTGGACATCTGTGACTGTGTTCTTTGCTGCACTGCAAATGGCACCAGATGTTCCATGGTGAACAACTGAACCTTGCTCAGGAAGGCAATGCCTCCCACTTGCCTTATGCATCCCATTCAGTGTGGGCTGGGGGAAGGTTGCCTCTCCCCATGGCCTGTGTATCTCTATGCCTGTCCTAGAAGAGACTTCTTCATGGTGACTCAAGTAAAATGATTTAACTCTGCTTTCTCTGTTATTCCATTTATCTTCTTATTGGAGGTAGTTTGAGCTCACAAGTCCTTCAGACCACACAAATGAAGTCAGAAAATAAGTTCAGAATAGCAATTTTTAATATTTACATATATCAGTGAGGCCAGTGGTCACATGGTTGGCAGGACAGAGAGTGTTCCCAGGAGCACACAGACATCCCCAGGGCAGGACAGCCTGGAACAAGCAGATGGCAGCAGCACAGTGCACTTATTTTCCTGTGCGGGAGGTGTGCCAGTGGGTATCTCTTCCTCTCCTGGTGCAAGCACATCCAAACTTGGCTTTGTCCCAAAGGTGAGAGTCAGGGAGTCAAAACTAAGGGATGAGGAAGGGTGGGTATTTAGGGATTGAAGAGTTCATAGAGCCCCTGTGCTGATGAAGGAGTCTCTCTCCACCTGATTACATGCAAATATCCTTCTTTCCCACTGCCTCTTAAACTCTTTTCCTGGTTTGCTGTCTGCTGTATGTGGTTGCACTGTCCATGCCTCACTGCTGGCAAAGAACATGAGCTTTTTAAGCCACCTGGCAGGTTTGGATGCACCTAGTGATGGATTGCACACTTCAACAAGTCTTACACTTTCTTTTTCACAGAAGTTGCATTTAAATTTAATAGGTTAAATTTCCTCCTTCTAGGCATGAAACTATGCTCCAAGGTGCATATGTTCCTCATCTAGGCAACTGACCTTTTTGTCTTAATTTTATATAAAGGAGAATGTGAAGCATTTTGCATGTTGCATTAAAGGACAGCACAACAAGCCACATATCTGCAATAAGTGCATTTAAAGAGCTTGCTCCCACACTACAGTGCAGAAATACAAACAACTCTGAGGAAACATAAATCAGGAAAAATATCTTCAAAGTGCTTTAAGTATGTTGAGGTTTTCATAGCTGCCTACGTGCATTCAGGATGGGTAAAGATTATTTCACAGTTTGGCTGCCAAAGACAGTTCATCTCCAAGAATTAACCTTTGAGGAAGTCACTGAAATGATGAGTTTTCTGGAATTTCCCAGTCATGGACATTAGCTCAAGATTAAGAGCTTGCTCTTGAGTGATGATGAGGAATTATGGAGTTCCTGGTTGGTATTGCCGTTGCTAAAAAACTAATGCTGATGCAATTTTCTGCCTTCAGATTATAGCTTCTATTTATTACTAAGCTGCACATAATTACTACATTTATCATTGGTGAGTTAATTCCTTGATCCATGTGCTCTATTCTAGAACAGCCCTATAAACCTGTGTGGAAGTTAGTGAAATTCTTAGGCAGTTTCATGAAGGCAAAATTGGTGGTGAGGTTCTTTACCCTTTTGTTAAACCAGACATTTCTAAACTCTTGCTGCAAACCCTACTGTCTGTGTTGACCCAAACGCTCCTCTAAGGCTGCCACAACTCTCAGATGCTCCTGAAGAAGTAATTTAGAAGTGCCCTGGGCTCTGGCAAGGGGACCTGGCTCCAGGGTGGCAGAAAGAGCTGAAAACCATGTTCTCCAGTTCCCTCTGCAGTGTCTCAAACACTGCTCGATATATTCTCTGTTCATCCTCATTCAAATCTGTGAGTGCCCCATTTGAAAATTAATAGGAAGAGATAGGTGAGCTCATGGTGAGATTTGGGGAGGACAGAATATTATTTACATCAGCCAGAGAGCAGCTGCTTCATGCAGCTGATAAGTTAACAACATCTCTATTTCCCACATACATGAGAGGGCAAGTGGTGATCTTTTATCTGAGGACTGTTGTGCTTTACACAAAAGTACAGCAGTAAGGGCCAGACAGATTAATGTTTTTGCCAGTACCTGAGGTTTAGCAGGTATTTTTAGAGAGATGAAAATGTGGAGTCTCAGATTGAGATGATCTAGCCCTTTTCTACCCTGACTTCTTTATAAAAAAATTATTTTGCTCCGTGAAACACCTGAACATTGTTTTTTTTCGTTGTCCCCCCCATAAATAAAACAGCACAGTGCACTATCCTTATTGTATGTGAATCAGCATTTTTGGGCTTGTCTTGGCATTCCTTGTAGGTCATTCACATTCCAGAAATATTTGTCTGAAAGGCAATGAATGAAAGATGATTAATTAATATTACAGGGGATATCTGACTTAGTGCAAATATCTTGTACAATGAAAAGGAATCAATAGTGATAAATGAAATTTGGAAGATGTTTTCTTCCATTCTGTAAAACAACAACATTATTATGTTTGACCAATTTAAAACATCTCAACTTTTTGTGTCTCACTTACATATGCTAGGGAGGGTCATTACACTTTATCAAGAAGGCTTCTTAAATAGCAACAGAGCCATGCAATGAGTATGTCAATATGTCATATTGCTGTTTAGAAAAATCTGAGGACCAGGTAATCCCTGACTATAATGTGACAGACAGAAAGAGAGTGTGCAAATGCATCTATACTGCCCAGGGGAGCTTGTCCAGGGACTGTGCAAATCTCTCTGCTCATGTACCATTACCAGAGCCTGAAAAATAAAACTGGAAAGAACAAAAAGATCTCTTTTACTGCATACCAACCTTTCTTCTCCTCATACATGTGCTACATATGAAGCCAGTGAGTCCATTGATGACTTGAATGAAGCAAAGAATAGCTTCAATCACACCGATGATCAGGAGAATAGAGAAAAGGACAATATTCCAAAGGATGATGTTTTCAGGTTGTTTGCAAATGCTCCATGTTGTCTGGTTAAACAAATAATTGTCTCTATGATGGAGGAAAATAATTGGCAAGATATTAGAAAGTAAAAACTTGAGAATGCTTTCTCTGTTTTCCAGCATTTCATTTTCTGAACTTGACTGCACAAAGTGAATCTCAGGTTGTGCTATAAAAAAAGGTCAAAGCTGGTGATTCTCCCTAGAATTCCCTTTGCAGAGATGCAACTGATAATTAGGGAAGAGAGCCACATTTGTACTTTGTTGCATGCACAAGAATCTCCTCTTTGTTGTAGGGCAAAATTATGTTAATAACTGAAGAGAAAGGTCCATAATGGTTTTAAAATGTGTCTCCATCCTTTGTTCCTGCTGTGGTGTCTCAGCCCAGTCCATTCATTATCTCTAGCTCTGATTTGAAGAGCATAGTTGTCAAGGTTGACTTTAAAGATTCAGAGATTTTTGCTTTGCTTTTCAGAAGTAGGTAAAGCAGGCTGAATTCTTGATTATTTAACAGATTAATGTGGCACGGTAAACAAAGTCATAGCTCACTGGATTTTGAAAGCATGGTGCAAATTGCACAAGGGGCTTGAGGCAAGCACAGCAGATGAAACTTAGGCAATTTGCCCAAGGAGGATTCTTTGGTCAAAGAGATGACCAGCTGGAACATGCTACTCAGAGAAGTGTGAGTTTAGGTGTGCACAGGGTGCATACCTGTATGAGCCATCAGTTCATTTTGAAAATGAATTATCAGTTCATTTTGGAAAAATTCAAGTTCACTTTAAAAAGATAGGGGGGAAGGGATCACAGAAAGCAAAATTGGAATAGCCTGTAAGCCATACTCACTCCAGAGTGTCATTCCTGAAAGGGTAGAGGTATTCTCCATCACCTGTGTCACACAGAGGACCCCCAATCAGACCCAACAAAGAGATGACCACACAGTATGCTCCTCCTGCAAATCCCAGCACAGACAGGATCATTGACAGCAGCATCTGAAAGGGAAATAACTTTCAACATTGTGTGCACAGAGGTTTGAGTAGCATGGAGAACTCACAATGAATGAGAAAGAATTCTCTTTCTTGTCTCTTGCTTTATGCTGAAACTACTACTGCTACTACATTTGTGGGAGTAAAAAATAGTTGACTCCTTCTTTGACTGTTGTAGCTGTGCCAGATGTTAAAGAACTTACTGAGTTTTATGCTTAAGCTATCAATTATCTGGTGAGCTTTCTTTTAAAAGCCAGTATAAGGCCAGTCCTGGATTGATCTGTTCTGTATCATGTGCCTTGGCATTTCCAACTCTTCTCTTTCCTTGGCCCTTGGCCCAACAGAAAAAGGCAAGCAACTACTGAACCAAGTACGAATGCAACAGAAGATGCATTAATTGTTTTTGCTAATTGATGGCCTTTCTTATTGCTGCTTTCCTTCATTTTGCAACACCATGACATGTGATTATCACTTCTCACACTGAGAAATCTAATTGTGCTTCATGTGGCAACAAACCAGCAGTGACTTCAAATTGTATGTAATGCACTCATGTTTTACATCGGCCACTCCCACAGAAATGTTACCTTTATTCCATTCTAGTTTTCTAGTAATGAATGGGATGCATCCAGTTGCTGTTTGTCTATAGAAATAAAAGTCCCAGGGGGCTGCTACTAGTGGTGCATCTAGGACAGGCTTCTCAATAGTCTTGTTAAGAATCACTGTTGGTTGTTCACAACTCTGCCATAGAGCCAGGGGAAGGCCTGGAGCAGGGAGAAGGCAGCAGGCCTGCCTTAAAGTCAGGGCAACAGCATGACCAAGGAAACACATACAAAATACTCTCATCCATGACTCAGGTTTGAAGCCAAATATCTCAAATCTAATAATTCCCTGTTGCCAGCAAATACCAGGTTAAGTCCACCACCTCACAAGGCAGGTAGAAACCTTCTCCTAGTCCCAGTTGTTCCACAGACCACTGTACTACAGAATCAAATGGAAATATCCACTCATGTTGGAGTTTTTTGACAAAGCCTTGAAAAGTCTTCACTGTCTGAACACATTCAGGCTGGTGAATGCAGTTTCCAGCCAGCCAACTGCTTTCTGTAGAACCTTGCACGATGCTGGTGTGTGAATTGGCTAATTTTTTGTATTGTTTTGCCTCTAAAGCAATCCTTGAGTTAAAGGTGCTGGGATTTCTCATGGGATTTATTTAATCATAACTGATTAACAATTCAGTCTTTTCTTGCAAAGATGGATACTCTTTTCCTAGTCTTTATCTGCATGTTGGCTGAATTGTCTCTTAGCAGAGCTCCATTGTCAGCAAAATGTAGGTAATTTAGTCTATTGTCCTGGACCAAAACAGCGTCTGGGTTGTAGCTGATGCACTGTCTCTCAAAGTAAGATTACCATCCATGCCTTGTGGTGAAGGTGACTGACTGATGCTCTCTTTGAAACTCCTACCTATTCTGAATCACTTTTCCCCACTTGTTTTCTCATTTATTTTAACTGTGCATTCTGCTTCTTGGTTGAAGGCTCTTAATTATGTTAGCAATTCATTTTAGTACAGCATAGCAGTACAGGGCATCCCAAAGATAATAATGAAGAAAAAGTCAAACGTTCTTTTGGCATTGCTATGTTTTATGATAGCAGTTAGTGCTAGTAGTACTTGTCGGCGTTATCTGTGATGACTATGCTCTGTCACATGATTGTCTCATTTAGAATCTCTTGACTGTATGACTAGCCTCATCCCAACTATTTCCTTACTGTGTACAAGATCATCTAGACAGAGACTTGTCACTGAAAGAGGAGTCTGCAGTTGCTACAGCTGTTAGATTCTCACATTTTCTAGATATGCAGGGGCATTTCCCCATTTTGTCTACTGATCTGGAGACTTTTCTGGAGTCTTGCCTCATAATCTGTGAAAATCCAATAATTTTATTAACTATTTAATCATCTCAAACTTTCATAATCTTCCCTAGTTGTACTTCTCTTTGAAATATTTCATTTCCTCATTTGTGTCCTTAATTGCAACAGGAGGCCTAACCTGGGATGCTTGAGTGTGTTGAAATTTGTTTCCCATTATGTTGACCTGTTCTGTACTCCTGAAAAGATTTTGCTGACTGTTTTTGCTGATTTTCCCTGCTTTGTCCTTTAACTGAACTGTCCCTGGTGAGCTGATGAAGACTCTTAGAATTCATTCTTTGAATGTTTGCATCAGCTACTTTGGTGAATTTACCAAGTTCCTCCTGTCCCAACTTGTGCTGATCTTTAATACCCTGGTTCTTTTTCTATACACATTTCTTTCTTCTCTGTTTCTTTGTCTGGAAGTGGGTTTTGGGGTTTTTTGTGGGTTTTTGGTTTGGTTTGTTTGTTTTTGATGAAATTGTTGTTCTATCTGGTTATCTGGATATCTTTGCTTACGTTTGTCCGGAAGGCTGCTATGGCTATTCTTGTTCTACTAGTAACTCTTAAGGAAGACTTAGAAATACTGGAGTATATGTTTGCTGATGCAATGAGAGAAGCTGAATTTTGGGTGCGTCTTTTTCCTCATCACGTCAGTGCAGTGGATGATTTCAGATGTGTACGTGCTAAGCTGCAAGACACTGAAGCTTTCTAAATCTATTACTTTCCAAATTTATTATTTTGCAATGCAAGGACAAGAAGCCGTTGATGTATGGTTGTAAATATTAATTTAAAGTTGAATAATGAAAAAACTTAATGTAGTATGTAATCACTGTGAACTGGAAAACTCACTTTAGTGAATAAAAAGTATGATAAATATAGTAATTTTTATTACTGTTGAAGATACTTTGCAGTGTGTATAGGTCTTTGATGAAGTCTGAAACTATTAAACGAGGAATTGGGCAAAATAAAATAGAACAGAGTTCCTGACCTGAGGAAAACATTATGTTTGATTGAACAATAATTCTGATCAGTAATAATTCTTTAACCTTTTATTTTTTTATTTTTTTTTTTTACTATTATAAGCAATTCTGCAATTTGGAGTATTCAGTGTAAGTTATCATTTTATACCTAATATCTCCAAAGCAGAAAGGTGCTCAAACTTGCCTTTGGATTACAGAGGGTCCTGAGTAGTTCCATGAGGGCTGTTTCTCTGCCAGTAGGTGGAGACCCCTTAGTAGGTCCATCCAGACCTGTCTCCCGAGGAGCTCTGGCACTCTGGGAGGTTGCTGACATTGTGGATGTTTGAACTAATCCCAGGAGCCCTCTGCTCTCCAGGGCCTCACACCATACCTACCCTGCCTTCATATACAGCCCTTATAGTCAGGACAGCTAAGCATCCCTTCTGTGGTCATCTGTGCATTTTCTTCCACTCTCTACTGTCGGAATCTGAGGTATTGATATTCCGAGATTGTAGAAAGTCTCTGTCTTTCTGCCCCATTGCCAAAGAAGTGTGCCATAATTTGTCTGTGCTGTTTTCAAGGTTGTTTATTCTTGCTTATCTCTAACATGTTCTGCTGCCCTGCCACAGGTCTGTCCTGCAGGGCAGCGTGTGGGGCTCTGGCCCTCAGTGGGATGTTACAAACATTAAATACCAGAAACTATGTGTGCTGTATTTACAGTAATGTGCCAATATCTATCGTCTACGATGAACAGTGTGTCCCCAGCCTAAACCAATAGAAAAATGTCAACACTACAGGGAGACATGGAGGGCATGAAGAAGGAGAAAAAGGACAAGACACACCCAATTTCCTCCATCTTGTCCCCTTTGGACCCCTAATCTAGAATCCTAAAATTTTACTTTTGCACCTATGCCACATTTAAGTATTACTTATATCAAACACTCAGAGCTTGTAATTAATCCTGTAAGATTGGAAACTCTTTTGCCTGGACAGAGATCAGAGACAGTGTCTCTTGGGGCTCTGTACAGGGGGGTTCCTGAACCCCTGCCAGGGTCCCAGGCCTTCCAGGGCAGCCAGAGGGAAATCATGGATTCCCACACTCTACAAAGCAAATTTTGCCTGAAGTTTCTTTCCTTGAAGAAGCAGACCATCAGCCTTCAGATCTCCCTGCAACACTAACCTCTTTTTGAATGTTTGGAAATCACACTTCCCCAGGAGCTGTGCAGGATAAACTTGTTTTTGGGGTTGTTCACAGCCACTCATTCTTCGCTCATGTCCCCATCTCATCCCTACTTTGAGCCACAGTCTGTTTAAAACATAGGGGGTAGAGCTTCACCCTTTCTGCTTCACAGAGGTGTGTGACTCCAGAGGGGTGTGTGTTCAAAAAGACAGCATTTTCATAGATAGGCTCTCCTCACTAAGCCTATTTTCCAGTTTGGTTTGGGTAGCTTCATCACTTGACCATCAGCCACTTTGTGATATGGTTTAGTGGGCATGGTGGTATTCATTTGAAGGTTGATGAACTTGGAGTTTTTTTCCCAACCTTAGTGATTCTGTGATTTTTCCAATTCTACAAAATATCACAGTGCATAATCAAATTGCTTTCTTAATATATAATTGATTCCTCCATAACAGCAAATAAAGAAGAGCAGGAACAGCTTGTAGGTAACCAGTCAGTGATGCAGACAGGGTATCTGGCATTGATGTACTGCTGCTAGGAATGGCTCAGACAGTGAAAGAGGAGGGGGAGAATAGAGGATCATGGTGGGTCTGTGGATGTGGGCTGCAGGATGACATTGTGCTACTCATTGCGTTGTTGGGCTGGTGAGCGAACCCAGGCAGCCTGGGGAAGTTTGACTCTTGGGTCTGTAATATTTAAGACTGGGATGAAGGGTGGAGAAAAGACAACTGAGATGTTGTGTGAACTCAGCCCAGTTCAGCTGGATTTCCACTCATGACTTAACAGATCCGGTGAGCGTAGGAACCACAACTGTAGCTTTCTCCACACCACACTGCTTTCTACATCACTCAAAATCAAGCAAAGCAGCTGGCTTAGGCACTGTTTGCAGGGTGCCTAGGATCTCGCCCCAGCTCTGCAGCTGGCCTGCTTGGCCATTGTTAGCATCCTGTCTGTGCATATGACATTTGGTAAAACCAATGTAATAGCATGTCACTTGGAATGTGCTTCCTAATGTGTGACATCCTAATAAAAATGCTATTTTGGTATTATGAATCATGAATTAATTTAAGTAAAATGTTTTAAAGGGGCAAAGGTTTTCTCATGGATCAGACTAAATATTAATTGAAGAGTACAGAAGTTACTTTATTGCATGGAATCTCTCATTCCAGGCTGCTTCTGGGGAGGATGCAGACTCAAAAAATTTTTAAGTCTGTTTATTCTTGCCAATAATGATAGCCACACATAAGTCTGTGCCCAGGGCTTGAGGAGGAGTGGAGATGCCTTTATAACATGTTGCTTTATAATATTCTTAATTATCAAGTAAAACATCTCTCTGGCCTTTCTTTAGATGTCAGAGAGCCTAAATTGCATTTTCGCATTTCACATGCATAATATTTGGGCACATGTGAACTAATAGTCAGAACTGCAAGAAACAGTGCTGGCTCCTCAGTGACAGATGCAGCATCTCACATTTTGGCATGGACATGCAAATAAGGGACGTATGTATCCCTACAGAGAAAAGCAGGGATGACCCTGTGGAAGAGCAGATTGACATGGAAGGGTATAGAGGAGACAGGACTCTGTGGAAGGAGGAGGAACAAGAAACTGTCTCAGTTTTTATGATTGCCTTGAGCAGGGGAAGCTGGAGCCACGTTTTACTTTAGGGGATGTAGTCCCCTTTGCCCTCAGCGTTGTGCCTAAGGGCTCCAGCACCGGGCCAGGCCAATTTCCCTGGTATCAGCAGCTGCAACATCTTAATGTTCCTGTTGGCTAACTGAGCTCTCAGCCCCAGCCCAGGGACTCTGCAGATCAAGCTCCTCTTCTCCATTTCCCTGACATGGCTGCTGACAGTGGTGTGATGGTTTGTCACTGCACATTTCCACTTGCTGAGCAGCCATTTAAAGAGCTATTGCACCAACTCTGTAGGGCCATTTCAACACATGAATATCCACTTACCCCACATCTGTTAGCGCAACATCCTGCTCCACCTGCTCCCAGCGTCATGAATGCCGGCAAAATAACCTGTAAGAAAAGCACAGGCTGAATTGGTGTGCAGCGCTTCTGCTGGGGTGGCTTTTAAATTCTTAGACCTTGGGCATCATGTTCCTCCAATGTAAGTCACCTTCTGACTCTTCTCTGGGAGTTACACCTGCTTGGATGTTGGTGCTGCTGAAGAGTTACTTGGAAATAAGTGTGGGATTACAGCTAGAGCTGTCTGGCAAATTGCTGGTACATCAATTCTGATTGCTGAAGCTATACTGCTTTTTTCAGGGTATAAAAAGGTTCAGCACAGTATTGTTGGGTTTTTTTGTTTGGAAAAAAATGTGTCAGTTTTGAGAAAACTGGATTTCTGCTCAGAAAAGATACATAGCTGGACTAAGAATTATAGTCAGTGTAAAACCTCCTGAGCATTCTGCTCTGGATTATAATTAGGAAATCAGCTTTGAGCTTCTTGAAAAAAATCTGCCTTTGATTGTTTTTGGTTTTGGGGTTTGTTTGTTTGTTTGTGTTTGTTTGTTTGTTTGTTTGTTTGTTTGTTTTGTGCTAAACTTCTGGCAAACCTACAAGATGGACTTCAGTCAATGAGGAACTTACAGTTCACATCAGATTTCTCCATGGTAATTATCAGGAGGAGCTGGACCAATACAATGCAGTCAGTAACCATCTATGACTGGAGATACAATGCTGCCTCACAGATAACTCTGGAGTTAGGAAAAGTTGCCTTTAGTTTGGTAGCCAGAGGGCAAGAAAGCTCTTGTGGGTGTGGCTGTGCAGCCAGCACACTCCCACTGCCTTGTCTCTACACACCAGTGCTGGCTAAAGCATATCAAAGAGCAGCACAAATAATGGAGTATTTAAAAAAGTAGGAAATGGTTACCATCAAATTAATGAAAGAAGGAGAACCCAAATCAATCAGTCAATCAATCAATCAATCAATCAAACAGACATAAAAGGTAAAAACTGTAAAAATGGCCTGACTAGGTTCTGCCAAGATTTTTTGTCATGTAGGTGAGGAAAAGCGGAATGTCCATGATGAACAAAGTCCTTGGAATTTATGTGAGTAGTGTGAATATCTCTGTTGAACAGCGTAGGATATTGTTATGAAACTTGCTTAGATTTGTAGACTCCTAAATATTTTTCCAAGTATTTATTCTCTGTTGCCTTTTATGCACACCCTAGAGGCAACCTGCAGCACCTACAGTGGTGGCTGGACCACATCCGGAAGCCTGCAGAAGTAGAGCATTGAGGTGAAAAAGGTGTTTCTCTTCCTGCAAAGAAGTCCTCTCTTAAATAATCACAAATGGTCCCTAAGGCAGCCTCAGCCCCAGTGTTCTACTGTCTGGCACTCAGAAGAAGTGTTAATACCTCTGCCCATCAAACCAGCACTCCTTTTCCTCCAGGGCTGTCATTTTTCTTTCGAGGTTTCCCATCTAAGTGACAAACACTTTTGTGTCATCTATTAGCCTGGCTCAGGATGAAGGGTTTGCTTGGCAGCTTTCTTTTTATGCAGTGCCTGATTATAAACACCTGCCTTTTGACATATGCATGGGAATTTGCTGGGTTTGGCTGTTCAGTAAAACAAGAGCTGTGTGTGAGCCATGGCTTAGTCAAACCTTTCCTTCTGTTGCACACAGGCTTTCTATGAGGAAAGGCATTACTGTGACACATAGAGCCAGTCTTACGCTCTTTACATCCTAAATATTCGAAATAAGGAAATTGAGAGGTTTTCATGTAATATAATTTCCATTAGAAATTTAGCAGAGGAGGAAAGGGAGGAGCTGGCTACTCAGCCAAAGGGTACACTGACGATCTGTGTATCAGTCTACAGATGAAGGTCCCAGGTGGAGGGAGGTTTACTGCCTCACAGAGCTAAGCCAGGCTGTTCTGAAGTTTCTCCCACAGTCTTCACTCTGAAGGTTGCATCCTAGTTGAAGGGAGATTCTCCAAGATTGGGCAACCTGTTGGCATGACTTGATCAGTTTCCTTTGGGAGGAATCCAGGTGCATGGGGGAACATATTGCAGATTCATCTTTCCTCACTGTATAGTGTCAGGATATGGATCAGACTCCAGTTGTGGAACATCCTGTCCCTTGTTTTAACTCCTTAGAATACTGAAAAGCCAATCTTCATTTTCCCATGCTGCCAGCACCTGGAAGATGGAGCTGATGATAATGCTTTCTTTCCTCTTACCTGTGGGCATTTCTCATGCTGTTTTATGGAAAATATGCACACTTAACAGCATTGTTTGTGGATCAATAATTACTCCTAATGCTGTGTTTTGAAGGTCAATGCAAATTTTTCCTCTCCTCTGACTAACTGTTCTCATTTTTGATGTATGTGCTGCTGGCCACAGGCAAGGCTGTGTGGAAGCCTTAAAAGAAGGCATGTTTTCAATGAGCCAATGATGCTCTCACGTCTAACATCTTTCCTTTCCTTTCATTGAATGCCAATGACTCCTGGGCTTGCAGTGACACAAATTTTCCACAAGGTTTCTCATGTAGTTTCCTTCTGCAAACTCATGCTTATGTTCAAGCTCAGCATGAGTAATAGGCCCAAGTGGTAGCCACAAGAAGAAGCAGACAAGCTGCTGGTGGAGAACAGTTCACTGAATGACTTTATGCCATGTTTCTGCTTTGGGAAAGATGAGTATGAACCAGATCCACTGCAGGCTTTCCATAGACTTAAGCAGCAGCAGCATCATAGGCTGACTGTAAATGAGATCTACTTTTTTTTATAAGTTAATTATTCTTAAAGATTCTTTTATTTTTTGGCCAGCTCTGTGCCCAGTACTGGTCATATGCATGTTACTTGCTCAGCTTTTTAACTGCACTTGGGTAGATAATTGAAAGAGCACAAGGGGAGCAGGCTTTCTGATGAACTGGAAAGATAAGTATTCCCCAACATGTTCCCTTCTAGACATGGATATTCACATAAAAGTGATCTTTCCTGAGGCCTGGAATGGAGAACTAGTTATAGAAGAGCACATTCAAACCAGATCCAATCCAAAAGAAGGTGGGTGGGAGTGTAGGAACAGGAGGCAATCAGCTTATTAAGCCATTTGCAGCTCCGCATTTGTCAAGTGTTAGCTGGGTCTCAAACTAACACCTGCTGAAATATGTTTCAGTTTTTTCCCTTAATGTTTTTGTGAATTGTGTGTATATAAAATCAGTTGGAGGAGTAACGTGGGGGTGCAGACAATAGTGAAAACTCACCACCTCCAGCTGACCTCAGCTTTGCTTTCACTCCTGAGTAGTCAGGCCTAGTGCTTCATCCTAACTTGGAGTCCTGATATTTATTTCAGGAATGTTTTGTATTTCTTTGACTAGACACTTTTTTTGCCTTAAATTCATTTTCTCAGTTACATACCCAACTTCTCATTCAAGCTGTTCATGTGTTTATGCAAAACACATTTTTACGATCTTTTTCTTGCCCCCAAATTTAAAACAAAACTGAACAAAACTCACAAGAAATATTAATCTCTTACCAGTATCCCAGCTCCCAGAATGCCATGGAAAAACCAGACCAAATCAGTTATCTCGCTGAGCTGCAGTACTTGTCCATTGGGGAAGTACAGTAGAATGTTGGAGACAATGGCACATACTGCCAGTGGGAGGAGGGTGATCCCAATGCACTTTGAACACCTCCCCGTGCACATGGCAGCTCTCTGCTCAGGAAAGATACAGAGAGGTTTAGGTTATTGCAGCGCAAGGAGCACCAGATTTCAGCAGTTTTACACTTCAATGAAAGAAGAATCAATTTTGTAGAAAGAAATCTTTCATGTAAGACTTACACAGATAATCCTGTTCTACAGACCCTGTTCCCCTCAGATAATTTATTCAAAATTGAATTATTCACTGCTGGAATGTTTAATTTAATTTATTTAAAATTGTAGGACTAAACCTGTGTTGGTAGGAAATTACCAGAGAGTTTCATTGGAGTTGTTGATGGACAATTGTCTGTCCATTGGGAATATCAGTAACAAAACCATGAGCCCACAAGCAGATACCCTGGCTGGCAGGGTATCAATCCCAGCGGGTTGAAGACTGACACCCAGTTGAGCCACTTAGAAGAGCTGGATGCGCCCCTATGAAAACACATTCAAAGATGGGCTGGGGCGGGGAAGCTCTCTTGGCTTCTGGCCACTGGAGAAGGACCCAGCCAGGCCTGGGCTGGCCCTGTGCGGCCAGGCCAGGCCTAGCCAGGCCAGGCTCACGCAGGCTGCTTGGCTGAGACTCCTGCTACCTGCGGGCCGTGCCACTGAGCCTGTCCCAGTGCCGCGGGTGACGCCCAGCCAGCGCTGCTAGGACGGAGTTGGCGTGGCGGAGACGGCGCTGTGCGGCCAGGGCTAGCTCAGCGTGGCTCGCACAGAAACTTCGCTTTACTCCAAAACCACGGCCGGCACTGGAGACAGCCCCAAGGTCAGAAATGGCCAAAAACAGCCGCTGCTGGCCCAGTCCAGGTGCAGCCATGGCTGAGACTGCCTGGCCGCAGCTATCTCGGCATGACCCGTGATGGGCTTGATTTGCTTAGCCGCTTTTAGCCAGCCATGCTGCAAACAGAAAGACAAAAGCAGCAGCAGCAGTTTTGTCTCTTTTTCCTGGTGCCATTCATGAAGAAAAAGCCGCACATTCTGTCGGCCAGCGTGACTCACATGGTGCTGGCGGGGACCATGCAACCAGCAGCAAATGACACAGCGATTCCTCAATTGCAAAGCCTAGATGAGATCAACCTTTCAATGCTGCAAGATTATAAAAACTGTTTCAATTGATAAAACTTAAGAACAAACCAACCTAAAAACACTAATTCTCTCCCAAATCAGGGAAAAAAAGAGTGAAGACGTAGAGAAACCTTACTGAAGTCAGTAAAGAAGTCAAATTCTAGATGGGAGAGGATTTAAGGGGATGCCTTAGTCTGAGGCTGAAATTCTTTTGTGAAGCTATAGTGGAGACACACCTTTTGATACATCAAACTTCATTTTTTCCCTGTAATTCATAAAGTGCATAAAGTAATGCATTGTTCACCACAGCCAATGAAAAAACCCACTCATGCTAAAGCATATAAATGCTAAAAAAGCTAATATCCAATAAAAAGCTTAAACAGAAAAAGATAGAAATGAGACACTTTGTCCCAGGGATAGAAGAAGTAAAATCTCTATTCCCAGAGATAAAAAAAAAAGACCTTTTGTTTTTAAAACAACTCATCCCTAAAATAGTGCCCCATAAATTGACATAGCCCATAAAAGCAGCTTTGAGAAAGCTGCAAAGCATAAGAAAGACATTTACACTGAAAAAAAATATCCTTTCCCGGGTGGCTGATTTGCTATGACATTGAAGATACACAGAAACTATTTCTTGTAAAAAAGTCTCCATAGCATGGCAAGAGAGACTCCTCTTCCTAAGTAAACTAAAGAAAGATTATTTTAGAAGTGATAAACTAAGTAAAAGTTCCAAGTTTTGTTTCTTTGTGTTGTCAGGGGGAGAGAAAAGAGGGTGTGGGAGGAAGTGTTCTGAAGATTTATTCTGATTTTCTTATTATTTTCCTTTAAATTCTGTTAATAAAGTTTTCTTTATACCCCTTAAAGTTTTGGGCCTGTTTTGCCCTCCTCCTCCTAATCCATATCTCACAGCAACTAAATAAGTAAATAATTTCTAGTGGGTGCACTAACATTTAGCCCGTACTAAAACCACTACAGATGCCCTGGATTTTCCGGGACCACTGTCTTGGGAAGCTGATTTGAAATCTCTTTCACTGAAGGTCTAGAAGAGCAGGAAATAGCTACCAAAGATACCATGTGAATGTTCAACCCTGCCTTGGCACTGGGACAAGCAGGAAAACCATCCCATGGTGCCCACCAGCTGCATTTCCTCTATTTCCGTCAAAATTACACCCTCAGCAAGAATCAGAGAAATATTTATTACTGTTTACTGTGATGTGCTTATTCTGCACATAAAGGTTGATAAGACTGTGGATTATGGGCTTGTTTGGCACCTACCCTTAAATATCTGAAAAGCTGAAATCTTGTCTAATTCTGTGTTTGTTTGCTAAGGGCAGGTCAAAAAATATCCCATCTCATTTTCAGAGATCTGTCATAACATACAGTAGCGTAGTAGTTCATAGCATTCAGGTTCTTTTTTTAAAAGCAAAGGATGAACATAAATGAAGCACTGATTGAGAGAGATCTCTGCAGGTGTCCAGTCCAACCTCCTGCTGAAAGCAGGACTACCACCAACACTAGGTCACTGGGTCAGCCATGGCTTTGTGTAGCTGAGCTTGAAAAAGTCCCTAAGGATGGAGTCACCACTGCCTCTCTGGGTGACCTGTTGCAGGATTGACCCAATCTCTTGATGAAAAAATCTCTTCTCGTGCCCAGTCTGGATCTCCAAAGCTGTAAACAGGGCTGTTGTTCCTCATTGTATCCTCTCACACCACTCCATCACCTCTGTCACCCCCCAGTTTTTTGTAGGCTGTTATTAGACCACTCTTCATCAATGTCTACAGCCTCAGCTCACACTGCACATATGCTGTGATCTACAGCCAGAGAAAAAATCCTGATCAGTACAAAAGTGGATCCACAGATATATCTCCATGTCAGTTTGGAAATTTCAAACTACTGAGTCAGAGGTTATTGAACTTGCATACTACCTTCAACTTTATGGCACAAACTGATTGCAGCTTCTTCATGGTGTTTTATCATAGCTTCAAGGTTTTCAAATGCATAAAAATATAAAACGTGCATGAAAATACAAAATATCAAGCTGTGGATTTCTATCCTCAGAGAGAAGTGTCAGTTTATGACTAAAAGGGCTTTGCTCTCTTGTGAGTCAGTTACCAAATGCAAGAAAGGAAGAGGATGTGGACACACACCATTTCATGCACATGCAGATGCCTTTGCTTGTTATGTGCAAATAGTTTTTGTAATAACTGAGACCGTCAGCAGTGAAATGTCCCTCAATTTGCTCATGTGTCTTGGCTAATCTGGGAAGTTTTATGACAAAGATTGGTGTGGAGAAGGCATTAAGCAGGCTAGAAACAAAGAAATCAATTAAGGTTGGGTTTCCAAGCAAGAAAAAAAAAGATGTGAAAGGTAGCTTGAATCCATTTGAGAGAGGCAGAGACAGACTAAAACATAATTTAGTGACAGAATGAGCATGGTAAAGATTAGGTAAGATATCAGGTGAGATGTCCTCTGACCTATTCAAATGAGAGGGAAAACAGAAAGACTTTATGGGCTGCCATATATTGCTGTGAAGCAGATGTAGCTGCCAGAAACTTCTTCTGAGTTTGCATTTCTGTAGCAAGAAATTTGCATAGTTCTTTGCTTCTATGAGTTCAACAAGAGCACTGTGCTTATATGCATTTTCTTCTGAGCACTTTGCACTCTTGTTGAGCTTTATCATCCGTCTTTAAAATAAGCTAACTGGCATTAAACTATTCCAGATGGGATCATTTTTAACAGAGATATTTCTGTGTTTATGGTCATTACCTGTTGTTTACACAGTGCTCAAAATTTGGCAAAGCATTTTGCAAGCCTCTGGAGAAAGCCTTATCTCAAAGAGGTAAAAATCTAAACAGACCAGCAATGTGCATGTGAAAGATGAAGTGGGGAATGGGAATGGAGGAAAATGGAAAGAATACTGGATATTTCACCTGTCTTTCAAATAACCAGTGCCTAGGTTATTTTTTTACACTAACTCTTGCCTGCCTGCTTTCCCATCTCATTCCAGCTTTAGCTTTTCTATTTGTTTGCCCAACCTCACCTACTTCTCCTACCAAGAGAGAAGCAAACAAGCACAGGCACAGCCTAACCTCCTTGCATAAAAACTAAGCCTTGGAGTTGAGTTATAAATTCTCTTCTGCATCTTTTGTACATCACCAGAGGGCCCAGTTCTTGTACGGCGCAAAGCAGCATGCCGCTGCTTTGGCTGGAAGAGCTGGGGGTTCCAGCCCTTTCTGTCTGACCTATCTCAATACCACTTCAAACTGCAGGGAGAGCTTACCTAAACAACAATCACCAGACCTAGTGAGAGCCTCTACCACCAAAATCAATGCCGCTTTGCCACCTGTGCACATTAGAGCATCTGCATGTGTTATTATAGCTTAGGAAAACATTCCAGTTTGCCAGAAGCACTTAAAACACTTTATTAATTCACCGAACAAAAGCACATTCTACAGCTTCATTAAGCAAGGTGGCTAGAGCAAGCTTCTGATTTTTAGTGAGGTTTTTAGAAAGTTTTGCTTCTTAATGCTGCAGTAAGCATGTAAATACTTCTGCTTACCTTCTAAGCAGGGCTAAGATGGCCTCCAGAGCTCCCCACAGCTGGATTCAGGCTTTCCAGCTCCTCTCTCCTGGAATGCTGCTGTCTGAGCGAGGCACAGCAATGTTTTTGGGTGACGGCCTCTATTAAGCAAATAGCTGTTTCTCCCTGAGAATGAGGAAATACCCCAAGTTATCCCTGGTTGGCCAGTGAGAGGTTGGCGTGTCACCCGCAGTTATTGATTATTTTAAGGCAGTGTTCCAATGGTCAATGCCTTAGCCCGCGGGACACATGGATCGGAGCAGCTGTTTACAGCGGTAACCATTTCAGCTGTGTGGAGTTTGGCAGGAGATGGCAGAGGAACAATGAGTACCTAGCAGAAAATGTGGTTGGAGCACGAGGTGGTGGCACAGCGAAGTCTGGCCATTGGTGTGGCATCATCTTCTGCCCACCAGACTGTGGCTGTTAAAATCCAGTACTGGCTGTGCTCCAAAGCATGTTCTTGGGAGGGTTAGGTGAGGAAAATGGGGATGGGAAGGGTAAAAGACTCATAGTAAGACAGGAGAAAAGGGAGAAAGAAGGACAGGCAGGCTGGGGAGAAAAGAGAGATGTGACCAAGGGAGGGAGCAAGGAAACAAAAAAACACACTATTCCAAGGAGGAGAGAGTAGGAATATGGAAGGGAAACTGAAAATTTGCTTTGACAGTGGAGAAAATAAATGTAGAAGAGGTACTAGGAGTGGGCCAAGAAATGTAAAACACAGTGGAGAGTATTAAAGCACTAAAATTGAACTGGGAGAAGACTCATATTGAGGAGAAAGGGAGTTTATTTTGTAGAAAATGTGATGATAACAATGACTGTTAAAATATGTTTGAACTTTCAAACATAGTAACACATATGCTACTTGGTAGGTCAGATTTGGCATCAGTTGTGCTGGGAATATACCCAGATCCCTCCCTTCAACAGAAAACATCCCCTCTCTGAGAAACACCTGCATCCTCACCTTTCACCTTCATCCTCTAAACTCACTAGGAAAGATTGGTTGTGAAGGCTGGAATTCATCTCCTGTAACTTTGGGTGTAGATGTCAGCCTAGGCTGTGCTTGTTTCTTGTGAGATAAACAGATGCTTCTAAGGAAAAGAATCACAAGATCTATTTTAGGAATTACTGTAGGATTACAGTAAATCATCAATGGTAAAAGAATATCACCACTTGTTCAGATCTACATGTCAGAATCTGTTGTCAGATGAATCTCATCCATGAGGACTACCAGCATGGCATAGTGACTTCAAAAGCACCAGGAATTCAGCCCCTGGTTGCATATTTAATATAAATATTCATATCAACTAATCACTGACTCACAGCCAGTGAAAATTTTTAGTGATCTCAGAGGGATCTCAGTCAAAGAGCCTTCATTAAAATGCAAATGGTAACAAGGAAGAAAACTGAATTAACTCACTGAATCCAATGCCCCAGACTTCAACTGACATCAGCAGCAACAGCCTTTAACCACGTCTTTTGTGTCAATGCTTCAATGCCAAAGGAAAGGAACAAAGTGTCATACAATCTCCGGACAGGACAAAAGCATAAGGTCTAATAACATTTAAACCAGTTAAATAATTAACTTTAGAAAAACTTGAAGACCATCAGCAATTTGCACTGACAGCTGGAACAACTGGAGGGACCTGCCAGCTTATGTAGAGAGTTGGGAAGCAAATGAGGGAATTTCATAATAATACTTANGCAACAGCCTTTAACCACGTCTTTTGTGTCAATGCTTCAATGCCAAAGGAAAGGAACAAAGTGTCATACAATCTCCGGACAGGACAAAAGCATAAGGTCTAATAACATTTAAACCAGTTAAATAATTAACTTTAGAAAAACTTGAAGACCATCAGCAATTTGCACTGACAGCTGGAACAACTGGAGGGACCTGCCAGCTTATGTAGAGAGTTGGGAAGCAAATGAGGGAATTTCATAATAATACTTAAGATGAACTCTGTCTCTAAATTTTATATCCTGGTTGCTTGGAGTTTTTATAGCCTTTACTCCATATTTCTCAGGCACCACCTTTCTCATCTTCCCATACCCAACACCCTAAGCTGGGCTCAGCATCCTTCATTTTGATTCTGCTTTTCTCTGGTTTTGCCTGGCTCATACTCTTCCAGGACGATGTGCAAACCTCACCTCTGTAGTTTATCACATGTATGTGTCCCCAGCATTACACATTCTTTTACTGACCTTTTTCATTTTCTTCTCTGCACTTTCCAAAGTTTGTCTATTGACAATGTAGGTTTTAAATTGTTTGGGGCAAAGTTCAGTGTTTTCATCTACATCTATATAACACTTACATGCTCAGGGGCTTAACTAAAGACTAGTGCTTTTAGTCACTATAGAAAAAATAAAATAATAGTAACCTATATTGAACTCCATTCTCTTACTGGTTCAAGAATATCTTTAAATGTGCTCATTATTAAGTAGGATCTACATTCAGTCTTTGATGAGTTCTCTGCTAAGTACTGCTCACTGTGAAGCACAGGAAGAATGCCAAAAAGAAGAACATAATAAAAATCTGTATTAACATCAGGCATCCTGACTCTTACCTGTTTTTCTAAAGCAACAGACTCACCCAAAAGAAATGAAAGCAAGCGAGCTCTAAAACACTTAAAAACACTGAGCTTTGCCTGTGAAGTGTTTAGTGGCTAAGCTGAGTGTATATGATTGTGTACATCTATTTTTCCCGCTGCAATATTGACTTTTAAGGCAATGAAAACATTTTGTGTTCCACTGATCAATGCCTCCTGATTATATTGATTTACTGTACACCAGCTCTTATACTCCTTTTATTTCTACCCTTTTAGCCATAAATTCTTTATTAATTTTCCAGTTACATGGGAATTGAGAGACAAACTGTAAATATGTGGAAAATCTTGTTCATCATGATAGGAATGAAAACAGTTCCAGCCCCACAATTTCCCTGAGAGGTGCAATGTGAGAAACTAAAGAATTACGGCCATGTGCAGGTTTTTGAAGGGCATATCTGACTGCCCACTTACTCTATTAATTGATCTGCCCTATTTGGAGTGCAGCTGCTGCACACTAAGGAAAAATGGCCTATTTGCTGTTGATATGATGTGGAAAAAGGAGCAAGGAGCTCTCTTTCCATCTATTCTTGTACAAAACTTAAGTGACTGCTCTGAAGTCACAGCTTTTTTCTGAGTACACAGTGGCTCTCCACTCAATTTAATTTTTTCCATTTTGACACAAATTATTTCTTGCTGCTGTTTCCTGTGACACTTTGCTGTTAATGTTCCCTTCAACTGAGTGAAAGGGAGGTTGATTTTCCTGAGATAGGACTGCTGTTAGCAAATTTAACTGCTGTTAAGAAGCTTTTTCCGAGATGAGCTGGCTCTCAGAAGGTCCTGGCACTGCAGGTAACCTGGCCTGGAGCACCAGCTGCCCCTGTTTCTCTTGCAGCAGGTGCCCAGCTGAACCTGCCTGCCTGTGTCCAGGAGCATACAGATGCTCTGTTAAGGTAGAAATAGGAAGATGGAAATTACACTACCAGCATTATTCAGATTTTCTTTTATCTGAAGCATCCAAGACCTTCACAATCCAGGCCACAGAGAGCTGATTGTGCAGCAAGACTATTGGGGAAGCTGAGGAACAGTTCAGTAAAAAAAGGCTCATTACTTGAATCAGATCAGAGACAGACAGAAAACAACCACTTTTAATGGCTGAGTGGAGCAAGTTAAGGTTTTTATATTAAGGATACCTACAAGTTTGAAGAGGGGGAATGGAAGTTATTCTGGACAAATTTTGGAATAGGCTCTCAGTACTCTTGGGGAGTGTATTCACTGCATTGCACCATCATGCACTGGTGGTCCCAACACACATCATATGCTGGACCTGCACTTTGTAGCAACAACAGTCAAATGGATGGATTGTTCCTTCTCTTCTGTTTACCTATTTTTCATTTCCCCCCTGCCTGTTTATTTTCTGTTGTCTATCCTTTTATGTGTAATCCCCTTTCCTACATACTTAGGTGCTCTCTGCTTCCTGAGATGACATCCTGCTAAGTACAATTTCCCCCTGAAATGGCAGCACACACATCATTGCTTCTGAGGACACTTGCACCACTACCAAGAGACAGTGCTCTGGGAAAAAGCCCCATCATTATCAGTTACTATATGACCCGAGGGTGGCACAGCCAACCCTCTGCAGAACCTTCTGGGGCAAGGAGAATAGTCCTGAGACAACACCCAGTGAGCTCTGCCCATCCAACAAAGCATTATCCATTGCTTGCTTGTGTGTATGTATGTTCATCTGATTTATAACAAAGCTTCTTTTATTTAATTATCTGAGTGGTTTGCCCAGGGACAGCACTGTACCAACCCCAATGTTTTCTATAATAGCAATGGACTATGACCTGTGGCCAAGGGTTGTTTGTACTCCCAACACAGAACAACACTGTCACTATCCAATATTAAAATAATTAGAGGTTTGTGCTTTCATTTTGCTGGTTTCATGCAACACTTCTTTCTGGTTTTGGCTGAAAGGCATTTTTCATCCATATGTTTTGACACTGGGGTTTGCCCAAGAATGTGCTTAGGGAGAGGGTGAATTAGGAGCTAAAAGTAGTACTGACTGGAAAATGCCCCTATTTACCTGAGCAGACAGGAGAAATCTTATTGATCCTTCTCCCTTCCTCTTTTGCCCTGAACTGCTCCAGGTTTCTTAGGAAGTCTTCAGTAATGAAGAACAAATATTGGGAACATGCTGAAGAAGTATGTGGTTTGTCAGAAAATGCTCATTGTATTTTTTATAGATGTTTGACAGTGTCAGGAGGGAAGGTTTCTGTAGTCCAGAGTGCTAGTTTTGGTCAGGCTGAGAGATGTAGCTTATCCAGATAACTTGAAAGAGATTACAAATTTCCATGCAAGGCTGAGGCACCTGGGGTATCTGACTCCCACCAGAATGAAAGAGGAGGGCAACACCCAGGAGGTCAGAAGTGACCATTAAGTGTTTTGCTATTGCAAGGGGCACGTCCACTTGTTCACCATCTCCATCTGGTTTTGTGCCAAAAGGAAAAAATAGGAAAATCAATACTAGC